AACCAACAAGACAGGCTCTAACAAAAACTATCCCCTATGAGAACAAATAGGAAATGGCACATGCACCAATGTTTTTTTTTCTGATCATTGAGGTTGATGTCAATTCGCCCTTACCTGTGATGTCTGTAGAGTAGGACTAATTATTCATATTTATCTTGTATGCAGGAAAATTGTCAAACTCCGATATCGAGATTCATTACAATGCCAGTCGAAGTGGGCCCTGCGAGGTGACTTTGACCTGTATGGTAAATGTACCAGACGTGACGATTACCTGGACCTATTATAATGGGGCAAAGATTGAGGAGATGGATCACACAACTCAAGTAAATTATATGAATATAAATGTTAGCCATACCTGTACGGCAACGAATTTGGTCAGCAGAGCTTCCAGAACCATCATCCCTGAGACATTCTGTGAGACAGGTAATTAAAATGGCAAGGGTCGGTTAACTTGGCAAACGTCTTTACTTAAAGTGTAAGTAACACTTCTCATTCCCTCACTCTTGTAAGTGCTATTGACACACTTGAGGCAAGTAGTGCAATGGATGTAAATATAAAACCACTTTACCTCAATTGTACTTCCATTTTCAAGGCATAATCCTCCCATGATGCATTGGGTGTGATCAGAAACCCTGAGAGAAATGTTGAATTTTTAATGACGCAGTTTATACATACTGTGTAAAGTATAAAATAAAAACTGCTATATTTAATAATAAAATAAAAAAATGCACAACCCAGCGGCAACATTTAAGTTAGTTACCAGCTGGTATATAAATCTCACTTGTGACAGTTGAGTTTTAAAAAGAAAAAAATGTTTACTGTACAGAAACTGTTGTAGACAACACAATAGATTCTGGAATAAGAAATGATAAAATGTTGCTTTTTTAAAGTATTAGGTTTATCAGAAAGAAAATGCTTCTGGTTTATTTACTAAACCGTGAGTTAGTTCAGTGGTGGATTTACAAATCAGAAGTCTGCTGGCACCGATATATTGATCATCTCTCTCACCTCGCAAAATATCAGATAAAGCCGTTCACATGATATATAAGAAATGGAACATGTAAATAGACATAGATCTATCTCCTTTCACACAGAAGCATGACAATGCTGTTAATAATAAAACCATGTGTGCACATCACAATATGACCATGCAGGCTATGTAAAAATATAGCTAAATGTGCAAAACTGTCCCCAGTGAATGTATAAACTGCAGACACAGACATATATAAAAACCTCTCCCTGCTCATTTATAAACCAGTAAAATCTGGCAGATATAACATCTAAACAGGCATACTTTTATATATAATGACTGTACGCATGTATAATGGTTTATATCACATATGAATGTGCTGTATGTAGAATATGTGAGGACACATGTGCATCGAAGGGTGTATAGGCAAATGTGCATTTATAGGTAAATTTAGGTGTAAATGCATGAATGTAATGTATAAGTGCTTGATTGTAGCAGTTCAGTGTTTGTCTGTAACGGGTTAATGATTATATATAGTTTGCAGAAGCAATATCTGTGAATGCATGACTATAATGCTTCAATGCATATAGTCTGAGAATGTACGAAATTAGTATCATATGTATGTACTGTCAGTGCGGGGTGAATGTAGTGTGAGAATGAATGGACACTCTTGATCTCATCTTACCCAATCCCTGTCCAATGTTTCTCTCTATCTGACCACCATCTGCTAACCTTTAACAGACCAGATACCACCAAAAATACTCCAGAGCTGCTGAAAGCTGCTGGTGAAAGTCTAATTCTGCGACCTACTTCCTCCACTATAAATTCATGTTACGCTCGTACAGTTTGGCTCTTTTCTCTGGAAAGAAAACATACTTAAACACCCTCAAAACCCCTTCTCCAGAAAACCAAATGCTATTTCACAATTTACTACTTCACCCTGTTGCTGCTCTTCCTCTTCCTGACCACTACAAACTTTGCAATTCACTTCACTAAGAAGATTTCCGCGATCAGGAAAGAGGTCTTTAATCTCTCTCCTACCCGTACCAATACCTTCCCCAATCCCACTCTCTCCTCTGTTGTATGCTCACTTGCACCCGCCAGTATAGGTTTTTTCTCTGCTACAGTCCTTCCACCCCACCACCTGTCCTCAATCCTATCCCCTAACATCTCACTCACATTCTGTCTTCTTCTCTTTTCTGCCCATCACTAAAATGTTCAATGTCCTGACCAAAGTATCCCATGATTTAATTGCTGCAAAACCCAGTGGTCACTATTCTCTTTTAATACTCCTTGACTTTCCTGCTGCTTTTGACTCTGTTGATCATCAACAACTTCTTCTCCATAAGATCAGTCTATGAGACTCTGCTATATAGTGGTGCTCCTCCTACCTCTCCCAGCACTCTTTCAGTGTTTCTTTTTCTATCTCTTCCTCTTCTCCCAACCCCTCTCTGTCTGTGTTCCTCAAGATTCTGTCATTCATCCCCTATTGTTCTCGATCTATGCTGCCTCCCTTGGTAAACTAATCAACTCCTTTGAATTCCAATATCACTTCTCTGCAGATAAGGTGCAAATCTATTTGTCCTCTCCTAAACTCTTGCCGTCCCTCTTAAATTGTGTCTCTAACTTCTTCTCTGCTCTTTCTAACTGGATGGCTGCTTATTTCCTTAAGTACAACCTGTCCAAAACAGAGCTACTCGTCTCTTCTCCTTTACGTTTCGCTCTGCTTAAGACTTCCGTCTATCTGTTCATACTTCTACCTCTGATGCCCACCCTTCTTCTCTAGGGCCACACTGTTCCTATGGAGCTACTTTCCTTGCTGCGTTAGACTCCCACCCAGTCTCTATCCCTTCAAGAGATCAAGAAACACTCACTTCTTTAAGAAAGCATTGCAATTAAACTGTTAATAGCGTTCCCTCTCTGCACCTTGATGACTCACCTTTTTTCCTCTCCTGCAACTGTGTCATCCTAAAAATTAACATTACACAATAAACTATTCTAGTAACCTACTTTTACCCGTACATGAAATACATCCTTTCCTTACGTCTTGAGTCACTTTACCCCACTTCCTCTAGATGGAAGCTTGTTGAGCAGGGCCCTCAACACCCTCTGTTCCAATGCGTCCAACTAGTCTTGATGGAAATACTTGTCTGTTAATCCACCTTTTGTACAATGTTGCATAATATGTTGGCGCTTTATAAATAATAATAATAGTAATAATAATAATAATGAATGTAATGTCAGTTAAGCTATATAGTGTCAATACATGTAGTGTGAGAATGCATGAATGTAATGTCTGTAGTGTGTCAATGTCTGTGAAGTGTATATTGACCTTTAACACCCAGACATCCTTTACATAGAATGCTAAGCAGCTATTAATTCCCTTAATCTCGTGTATATACAATACAATTCATCTTCCCCTAAGAATGGTTTCACACAAAAGCCTTGATTTAATAATTATTATCATTATTTGTAAAGCACCAACAAATTCTGGAGCTCTGTACAATTAGTGGACAAACAGAACAGACAAGTATTTGCAACAAGACAAGTTGGACGCACAAGAACAGGGGTTGTTGAGTGCACTGCTCAAGCCAGCTAATATGCTTTCCACATGATTCAATGCTGTTAGAAAAACTTCCCAAATGATCTAAAGATCTTATGATCTATAAGTCACCATTAAAGACAAAGGGATTTTCTGTAGATAAATCACGGGGGGAAAAAAAATAATTTTAACGGCGTTGAATCATTTGGAAAGCTTATTAAATCAAGGTTAATACGCGGTGACCAACAGTTTGTTTGACCCTTGCATTAGGTTAGGTTGCAGTCTTTCATGTCCCCAGAATATCTGCATTTGATTGCGTAACCCTATATATCTAAGAAAAATATAGAAATCAGCCCGATATTGGTATACAATTAATCTAAGTAATAAAGTGCCATACATAGGCTTGTACCTCGAATCCTGCAAGTGGTGTTTGCAGGTTCCACCAGTGCTCAGAATATGCAAAATAGAATCTGGAATAAAGCACCAACGCGTTTCGCGCCTTAACAGCACTTCACCCGAGACATCTGAAGAAGTGCAGTTAAGGCATGAAACGTGTGAGTGCTTTGATTCAGTGCTCCCTACTACTTGTTTCAGCCATGTTTATTATGTCAATAAAAGTATGATTTATTTGTTTTCAAATATCCAATTGGATTGTGGTGCTTTTTTGCTTCATGTGAAGTCCAGATCCTATTTTGCATATTCTAACCGTATTAGTTGTAGGAAGAAGGAATGCCTACAGACTGATGCATCTGAAGAGCAAGTGTTAGAGTAAAACAGACAAAACTCCTAGTCGCTATGCTGACCATGCTCCTGGGATTTGTCATGTCCTACATTCGCTATTCTTGAAAATCTGGATTTTGAATGGGAAGAATTAGAGACAAAATGAAATAAAGCTGCAATTAAAGACATTTATTGTTATTAAAACCGTAAACTCTATCCTTAGGGTCTGCCCATCTGAGTCATGCAATAAAAACAATTTTGAAAAAAATTTTTTTAGAGAGAAACATGGTTAATGCCAGTGTCCCCTATTGACCTTTGAAACGCCAGCACTTTCAGGTGCTTCCTAGTGCTCTGCTGCACAGTGTGCAACACCTACGTTCAGGGTCTCCACAATGTTCCACGTAGAGAAGCATATGTTAAAAGTATCTCTATGAGGAGATGATGATTGGTGCAGTCCTGCGTTTTGTTCACATTTTAAAGTCTTAAATCAAATTTGGGGTTTTTAATTTTTGCTGTTATTTTTGCATTTTTGAGGTTACAACTTGCTTCAAGTTGGATTTCCCCATTTTTTAAAATCAATTAATCCATGACATATACAGGCATCATATATATGTATAATATACTCTGTGTAAGCACATTTGTACTTATGATGAACTGATCACATCTGTCATTGGTCAATCAGCAGATGGCTACTCACCTTGAAACGTAATTAATCAGTTTTTTCCTTGCTTTGTTATTTGTTGCATAAAGTCTCTTTAATTTCTGTTTCAGAAAAAAGAAACCTTTGGAATATTTGGATCTCAGTGATCCTGTCTCTTGTGGTGCTAAGTGCAGCATGCGCAATACTGATATGGTTTTACAAAAAGAGAAAATACCATTCTGGGTGAGCATTGATTCACATTGAGGAGAAATAATTCATTTAGTTTTTTATATCAGGCAGTTATTCAATAAACGGAGATATGTGCTGACATTTGTATTTGCAGACATTAGAATAAAACAGCTGGGTTGGAATATCTTCAGAATGTAGCTTAGAATTTGCATATTTTCAGTTTACTGTTTAGTAAATAAACCATGTTCTAGACTTGTCATGGGATTTCTGTGCTTAAACTGGGAGCCCATATTATACTCATTATTTACACAGTCACCCTGTCACAAACACTCCTCCACAGACCATGCCACCTGTTCCACTCGCACTCTTCACATACCGCCATCCAACCACCCACCTAGTCATACCCACCCACCATGTCAGATTCTCATACCGACTTACCCAGTCACCTTCACTATTCGATAAAATACCAAAAACAAGCCAGATTTACCTTACTTATCACGTACCCCAGTTTAGTCGCATTCAGTTATCTAAGTCACAAATTAAGTGTGGTACCCCACCTACTGACATACAACCATTCAGTTACACAACCTACTCACTTACATTTACTCATTAAGTCTCATATCCCAGCCTACAGCTATTCACTAAGCTGGACAGTCAGTGAAGTTCATATTTTGGGCCACAATAGCAAAATTTCTCGCTTGTTTATTTTGACCTAAAACGTATAATTTTTTGTTCAATTCCCAACAATTTCGAGTTTAGTGGATAACACTGCAATTCCCTGTTACCCATCTGATTACATACTGCAACCTGTTCCCATACTCCCATCTACCCTCACCAGCTCGGTCACATTCTCCACATTCACATGACCACATACAATCACCTAACCCCTGTCACAAGCACACATTACCCATATGTCCACAGCCACAGATCACACATGCAGTTACTCATACATATGGTGTCTCTCACGTACCTATACACATAGCAGACAGAGGTATGGTGGGGGCAGAACGTTTCATATTTTATGGATTAGATAGGTTTGTGGATTCCATTCTCACTATGTTCGGCAAACCCTAAGCATTATGGAAATCTTGTTCAAATATATCTTAAGTGCCATTTAAAGCCATCATTCTTAGTGGCCGCATTTCTTATGTACATCCACCTGTCAAGGAAAGGTTAGGACATATAGAAAGGTAGGGGCAAATTTGTCCAGATCAACAAGGCACAAAAAAAAAAATCTTACACCCAGTTTCCACTGACCCTTGGCTCACCGCTGACTGTTTTATACTTACCTCATCCATAAACCGAAACCATCAAATACTTGGAATTTATTGGGATAATAGAATGTGGAACTGTCTTTATCAGAAACTGCCCCTTAGATCCACGTGTGGTAAGTCTGACTCGTAAGAGTAGGCTTGTGAGTCTGACTACAATTTGAGCAACACTGGGTGATTCCCCAGAAAACATTGAGCAACAAATTATGTAACCAGCAGGCTGCTGGTATCTGGAAAATAAATAGGATTTTACAAGAATTCCTCGTGATCCCTGGAGAGTACAGACATCATTTGTCCTAAAGCACACTTTAGCTTTAGAGACTATCATGTAAAAGATGTTTGTTTTACAGAGAGGCAGTTAATATTTACTTTGAGAGAGAATGAGTTCTAGACTTCTTCCTCAATTTACGCAGCTTGAATTCACCTCTACGTGTAGAAATAGGTAATTATTACCAATATCACAAATATCAGAATATAGTTTAAGGCAAAAAAAAGTGCAGAAATGATGAAAAGTGTTTATTTTAAAAATATATATATATATTTTTTTTGTATTGAAAAAGTATCAAAAAATATTTATTAATACATACTTTTCCATTTATTACATACATGTAACATTACATACAAACATTTTGCTCAGGGCTTACTAACGGGGTATGGGTCTTTCTAACATTTTCTCTTAATTTCCTCTATTCTTCCTTTTCTTTCTCTTTTCTTCTTTTGATTAGTATTGTCCAAGGTTATATCTTTACTTCTAATGTGATATTTTATCTATTAAATCTAGCCAGTCTTAATTTATTAAAGAGAAATATATGCATACATAGTGGGTGGGGTATCTTGGTTCAGGGTAACGGATGGTGGTACAAATACAGATGGAATAACTGTAAAGATACAATGGTAGACAGGCACCTAGTGCAATAGAAGTAGTAAGTGGGCACTTAATAAGTGGATTGTATGTTTGGAGTGGTTAATTATGTATCACTGGATTGATGTGCACAATAACCTACTTAATGGCTTTTTGTGTGAAAAGCTGAACTATGTGTCACTGGTGTGTGACACGTTGATAAGGGGCACAGATAGAAAATTAAATAGTAAGAGCCTTCTTGACACAAGTATTTTTAATATTAGGGAGAGAGCAGTGATTGGTAAATTGGACTTTTACATACTGAGCATGCAATTAGCAGAGTTAAATGCGTATAAATAGCACATTTAGCGCATGATCAATACATTTAAAAAAGATGCAATTAGCTGCATTCATTAGCAACTAAGTAAATTGCTCCTGATACTCTGTTGTCTCAAAGGATTAACCATTGATTACCAGCAATTCGGACATTCGTAAGCATTCGTAAGCATTTGAATGTACATTCGGAACGAAACTAGTTGCACATGTCTAAAAACTATCTGTTATTTCTGAAGCTAATGATTCAATTGATACTATGTATAACAGGGGTGACAAAGGGCACCCCTGTCTTGTACCATTGCTTATTAGGAACCAATCGGCTAGGATATTTTGGCCCACCGCTCTTGCTGTTGGACATGAATACAATGATTTGATAGAGCTGAACATAAAACCATTGAATCCAAAATTACTAAGAGACTGAAACAGATACCCCCAGTCTACCCAATCAAACGTTTTTTTCTGCGTCTATTGATATTGTTTAAAATGATTGCTTATCTCTCTCTGCCTTGTCTAATTGATTAATTAGTCTTCTGATGTTATTATAGGATATTCTTCCTGATATAAATCCTATTTGATCTCGGTGTGTATATCTGGGAGTATCTGTTTCAGTCTCTGAGTTAATGAGAGAAATTGGTCTGTATTTCTCTGTATTTTTCTTATCTTTTAATATAGGTAAGATATTAGCCCTTTAAAATTCTTCTGGGGAGTGGCCTTTTTCTTAAATTTCATTAGATGCCATTGACAGATGGCCACTGATGTTATCTTTCATGACTTTGTAAAATATTCCACTAAACCCATCTGGGCCAGGTGCTTTTTGTTTTTTATATTATCTATGGTCCACATCACTTCTTCTTCACTGATTGGATTATTCAGCTCTTTTTTTTTAATGTTAGAAATTCTGTAAATCTGAATTTTATCCAGGTATTTGTTATTTTTCCTGATCTTATACTGATGGATCTGTTGCATAGTTGACTATAATACTTATTAAAAACTGTACCTATGTCTTTTGGTGACATATGGATATGACCAGGGCCAGCCTTAGGCCTTTAGGTGCCCTGTGCAAAACATATTCGCAGTGCCCCCCCCCTCCACTGTCATCCATGTATAGTTTGTGTATAGAAGTGTAGCAATTGTAAAGGGGATTTATTAAATAAATATTGATTTAAAAATAAATATTCATTACACACACAGAGTTACAGGCAGACAGTCACACACACAGTTACAGGCAGACAATTACAAACACACACAAACAGATGGACAGTCACGTACATACAGCCAGCCAGTGTAACACACACTCCGTTACATGCAGACAGCCACATACACACAGGCAGACAGTCACACACACAGACACAGGCAGAAAATCACACACACACACACACACACACAGGCAAACAGTCACACACAGGCAGACAGTCACACACACACACAGGCAGTCACACACAGGCAGACAGTCACACACATACACACACACACAGGCAGTCACACACACACACACACACACAGGCAGTCACACACACATACACAGGCAGTCACACACAGGCAGACAGTCACACACACACAGGCAAACAGTCACACACAGGCAGACAAGCACACACTGTTGCCTTCATTATGGAGATGGAAGTAGTGCAGCTTCTGGATTCTGCTTGTTGGGGAAGCAGGGACTCTTTCCTGCTTCACATGCAGCAATTGCCAGGTCCGGCACTTCTAGCCCCGCCCCGCCATCATTTAGCCCAACCCCACACACGCTAAGCCCCGCCCCTACCGCAATGCTTTTGTTGTTTTTTTTTAATCCCGGTGGAGAATAAGGAAATCCTCCACCCCGGCAGCCGGCCATGTGTGAGCTGTGTCGGCTGTCAGGGTGCCCCCTGCTCCAAGGCGCCCTGTGTGGTCGCACAGCTCGCACACCTCTAAGGACGGCCCTGGATATGACCGTCGTCATCAACAATTTTGTATATATGATTATTTGCCTGTTTGTTTGTTTTAGTTGGTTTGATATCATTTTATCTGCTTTATTATTTTTACGGTAGCAAGCCTGTTTTAACTTTTCTAATTACCAACTAAACTTTTTAATTTCTTCTTCTTTCACCTTTTTTGGAGATTAATTATATCATTAGATCCATTAGGTATTGGATTTCACATATTTTCTTTTTTTAAGTTTTAAAGGTTAATATATAACGAATTAATATTGTCCCCTTTTTGTTTATTGGCTGGTGCTCCAATTTTTTATTAAATACCTTCTTCACGCTCTTTTAAAAGCGCACCATAAAGCTGCTTTGGAATTAACAGAATTTGTATTTTCATTGAAATATAATTCTGTCATCTACTTTATATATGCTAAATGTTCTTCTTTTATTAGGAGTTACTCATTTAATCTCCGTTGTCTGTTTATATTATATTCCTTCCTGTCCTTAATCGACCAAAATACTGCATTGTGGTCAGACCATATAGTCTGAAATGTGTTTATATTGCATCAGTAGCAGACTTTCAGAAGTGCTTTCAGACAGTTCACATTACATTGGAGAAGGAGAAACACAATGGGGAGATATAGCAAAGTGTTATGTTCTGAAATGTGGTGCTTAATACTAAAAGGAGTGGAGTCACAATGGAATGTGCCTGATGGTTCCACTTGTTTCCATGGTGACTTCCCCACTTTGTACCATTTTTCAGAACACAGCACATTGATAATTCTACCTTATCATTTCTGTCTCTCATCTTCTGCTTGCTATGTTTTTCTCCGGGCCATTAAAGGGACACTCCAAACACCTAAACACGTCCTGCTGGAGCGTGTGTCTATTTTTTTTCAACTCTACATAAAGGGCAGTTTTCAATAGAAATTGACACTTTTATAAGTTAGACTTGTTACACCCCCCTGAATGTCAATCAGACAATGGGTCCCATTACTTCCTGGTTTGGTTAGCTCAGTGGAGCTATACTCAAGATGCAGCAATCTCCCAGAGCACTTGCCTAGCAAAGACTTCTCACTGAGCTACATTTGGAAGTCTGTGATTGGACAGCCACCGAAAGTCTGGGTGGGGCTACAAAGGGAGGGCTAGCAAAGGGATCTGCAGCTTTTGCAAGTTGTTTTTTAGATAAACCCCAATGAGAAAAAATGCATAATTAAATCTATGCATGTTTTTATTGTGGATATATCTACTAAATAGTGATTTATGTATTTTTATTTGGTCAGTGTAGTGTCCTTTTAATTATCTTCACCTCCATGCAGATATTTGTGGAAGTTCTAGGAAGGCCTGACCAACAGGTGCAAAGGGCGGAGCCTATAACAATGATTAACACAGAGCCAAGATGGAGGCATTTAGTTTCTATATGAAATTTTGTTTTTCAGTCCTCACAAACACATAATTGTTACATTTAGGGTTAAGTGAACCTAATAGCCCGGGAAGTATCCTTTTAGTATTTTAAATAATGTAACTGCTGCATAGCTTACATACAACACAGATATCGCTGTGGAAATTGTCACAGGAAGTCACTTGATATCAATCTCTGTTCGCAGAAAGAAACCAAAAAGTCCAATAAGTGGGAAAGAGACAAGGCGTTTTCAGCCATCGGATGATTATTACTGTGAAATAAAAAATCTCAAGGTATGGAATACGCCATTGTTTGTAGCAATTTTGACATTTTGAAGACTCATTAGCGTCACATTTTATTCTGTTTGTCGTGCTAGTGGAACACCAGAAAAATGCATAGATTTGCTGATAATAATATATATATATACATACATACAGGCATGGGAAAAAGAAAGTACACCCTCTTTGAATTCTACGGTTTGACATATCAGGACATAATAACAATCATCTGTTCCTCAGCAGTTCTTAAAATTAGGTATATACAACCTCAGATGAATAATAGCACATGACACCTTACACCAGTTAATGATTTATTTAACAAAAATAAAGCCAAAATGGAGAATTTGTGTGTGAAAAACAGTACACCTTATGATTCGTTAGCGTGTAGAATCACCTTTAGCAGCAATAACTTGTAGTAATGGTTATCTGTATGACTCAGTCTCTCACATCAATGAGGAGGAATTTTGGACCACTCTGAAGTTGAACCACTACATTGAAGTTTGCTTGCATTTGTTTATACACACCTCTCTTAAAGTACCGCCACAGCACTTCAACCGAGTTCAGGTCTGGACTTTGACTTGGCCATTGCAACACCTTGATTCTTTTCTTTTTCAGCCATTCTGTTGTAGATTTGCTGGTGTGCTTGGAATCATGGTCCTGTTGCATGACCCAATTTCGGCCAATTTTGCATTGTCGAAAAAAAGATGACCCCACATTTCACTCTAGAATACCTAGGGTATACAGAGGAGTTTATGGTCGACTCATTGACTGCAAATTTCCTGGGTCCTGTGGCTGCAGAAATCATCAACTCTCTACCACAGTGCTTGAGAGTTGGTATGAGGTGTTTGAGCGGATATGCTCTGTGTGGTTTTCACCAAATGTGGTGTTGTGCATTATGGCCAAACATCTCTACTTTGGTTTCATCTTTCCAAAGGATACTGTTCCAGAAGGCTTGTGGTTTGTTCTGATGCAACTTTGTAAACTAAGCCGTTCTGCTATGTTGTTTGTAGACAGAAGAATCTTTCCCCTGGCAACCCTTCCAAACAAACCATACTTGTTCAGTCTTTTTCTAATTTTACTGTCACAAACCTCAGATGAATAACAACATATGACATATTACACTGTGTCGCAATTTAATTAACACAAACAAAGCCAAAACGGAGAAGTTATGTGTGCTTAGTTATTCACACATAACTTCTCCATTTTGGCTTTGTTTATGTTAAACAGTAAATTTTAATTGTTCACACATAACTTCTCCATTTTGGCTTTGTTTATGTTAAATTAGTAAAGTTTGCCCCTACTCGCTATACCACGAGTAGGGGCATGTCTATTAAACAGTGAGCAGCCTGTGGCTGCTCACTGTTTAAAAAAAAAAAATAGGGTCCCCCCGCCCGAGCCCCCACCCACGACGCGCGAGTGGGGGCTTTTAAACTAAAGGGGGGACCTATTGCCTCCCCGGCCCCCACCCCTGAGTGGTGGGTGGGGGCCCTAAAGTAAAATGATGGGGGGGACCTATTGTCCTCCCCCCTGGCCCCAACCCCTGAGCTGCGGGTGGGTGCCCTAAATTGGAATAAGGGGGAGGGACCTAATGTCCTCCCCCTTGGCCCCCACCCTTGAGCAGTGGGTGGGGGCCCTAGACAAGAATAAGGGGGCGCCCTAATGTCCTCCCCCCTGGCCCCTACCCCTGAGCAGTGGGTGGCGGCCCTAAATACTAATAAGGGGGGGACCTATTGTCCTCCCCCCGGCCCCCACCCCTGAGCGGCTGGTGGGGGCCCTAAAACAAATGCCCCCCCCAGGTGACTAGGGGTCCCCAAACCTCTAGTCACCCCCTACCGCCCAAAAAAATTATCCCCCTACCTACCCCCCTCACCCTAAAAATAATGAGGTGGGGATCTTTAAGTACCTGTAAAAAAATAAATAAAACTTACCATTTGATGTTTTCTTTCTTCTAAAAATCTTCTTTTTTCATCCCCAAAAAAGGCCAAATAAAAAAACATAATTAGGTCCCCCCCCTTATTCTGATTTAGGGCCCCCACCCACCGCTCAGGGGTGGGGGCCCGGGGGGAGGACATTAGGTCCCGTCCCCCCATTATTTTACATCTGGACCCCCACCCGCCACTCAGGGGTGGGGGCCAGGGGGCAATAGGGAGGGGGGACTTTTTTTACAGTGAGCAGCCACAGGCTCACTGTTTAATAGACATGCCCCTTCTCGCGGTATAGTGAGTAGGGGCATAATTTACTAATACTAAGTAATCTTTACTTAGTATTAGTAAATTTGTCTGAAAGACCAATTTAGGTCTTTCAGCATGTTAGTAGATAGCTCCCTAATACTGTGGGAATTAGGGAGTTATCTACATATTCATTCTTGTCATTACATGACTGGCTAAGTAACTTACATTTTATATGAAGGTGTGTTACTTGATTGTTGTAAGTGTTGCAAATGCTTACAGCTGAATCCTGGCTATGTTTGTATACTTTTTATTTAAAATTGTATACAATGTAACATTCTCCTTCTTTCCCTGGGTAAGTATATTAGAACTTAGGCAATATTGTGCTTCGGAACTTCGCACTTTGACACTTCGGAACTTCGGCACTTCAGCACTTTGGAACTTCGGCACTTCAGCACTTTGGAACTTCGGCACTTCGACACGTCGGAAATTCTGTAATTTCTGAACTTCGGGACCTCGGTACTTCGGCAATTCGGACATTCGGAAGTACGCGAATGTCCGAATTGCCCGAAATTCGTCCAAATTCATATTCGGACCGAAACGAATTGCACATGTCTACTGCTAAGGAACAGATTGTGATAGTGATTGAAATGGGACTTCAAAGTCTTGTACATGACAGTTCCTGTGTGTGATTGCATTGTGACCGCAAAGCTAGTTTTTACCTTAAAACCATAAATACGCATGATTCACTCTGGCTGGCCAAATGTGTGTACATTGAAAATTTAGTGCAAATTTTAGGTCGATGTTGGAAAAATGACACTTTCTATATATTTTGCCATAAAGCATGCAATTTTCATGTCAATTCAACACAATTCTAAATTTAGTGAATATACACTAAAGTCTTGATTGTTTCCGAAAGTGAACTGTATAGATCTACCATCTCATAACGGAATGATCCTCCTTTTATCTCCAGGTGTTGCACAAGAAAAAGGAGTCAGATATGGTTTACTCTACTGTCTCACAACCACTAAAGGTAACTACTTACTACTTATTAATTATTTATGCACCACATTCTTAATGGAATACACCAAGCATCATAGCTCTAGTAATTAAGGTCTTATATGTACCCTCTTCTCCCCCATTGTAAGTAGTCAAACCAGTGGCGTACACACAATCCATGGGGCCCAGGTGCAAAACTGATCTGTGGGCCCCCCCCCGATCCGTGCCCCGACCCACCCCCGACACATACAGACACACACACACATACATGCACCCCTCAACAGACACATAAACACATAGACACAAACACACACACATACAGAGACACAGACACACACACAGAGACACACACACACACCTACATATGGGGCCCCATGGATTGTGTGTATGCCACTGCATAGATAGACACACGTACATATAGAGACACAGACACACACAGAGACACAGACAGAGACACAGACACATACAGAGACAGACACACACATACAGAGACACAGACACACACAGACACACATACAGAGAGACACACATACAGAGAGACACACATACAGAGACACACACACAGAGACACACACACATACACATACAGTGACACACATACAGAGACACATACATACATACAGAGACACAGACACACACATACAGAGACACAGACACACACAGAGACAAAGACACACATACAGAGAGACACAGATACATGTACAGAGAGACACATATACACATACAGAGACACACACACACACATACAGAGACATAGGCACACACACAGACAGAGACACACATACACATACAGTGACACACACACACATACAGAGACACAGACACACACACAGAGACACACACACACATACAGAGACACACACATACATACCAAGAGACAGACACACATACAGAGAAACAGACACACACATATAGAAACACAGACACACACACATATAGAAAATGTTTCCTACCTTGTTACTTTCCCTGGGGTCCATTGGTGGCTCAGCCTGATGGGAGTCAAAGTTCCCACTCTGACTCTCTCCTCCTCCTCCTTCCTCCCGTGCGGGCTCTCAGTATGCTGGGAGTAGTCAGGGCCGTCTTTAACGCGGGGCAAACGGGGCAGCTGCCCCGGGCCCAGTTGCTCCTGGGGGCCCAGAGCAGTTGCTCTGTGGGCCCCGTGATTTGCGCAGCCCCTAAGGACCGGGCGGTGTGGCTCACGCACACTGAGGAGGCTCCCCGGGTGGCCCATGCACTAAGGGCCACCCGTGGAGCATGTGTCAGCAGGGCCCAGTCGGGTGCTGTGGCGCTTAAACAGCGCGACCGGGCCCCTCTTCCGGTTCTACAGCCGGCTGGGAGGAAGTGACGTCACTTCCTCCCACCGGAGATAATGGCCACGCGGGAGGAGGAAGGCAGGGAGGAGGGGAGTTCCAGAGGAGAACTCCCATCTGCCTCAGCCTGCCACTGGACCAGGGAAACCACCCTCCAGGAAAAGGTAAGAACCTGGAGGGTGGCTAAATGTATGTCAGTAGGTCTGTCTGTGTGTCAGTATGTCTGTGTGTGTGTGTCAGTATGTCTGTCTGTGTGTATATCTGTGTGTGTGTGTCAGTATGTCTGTCTGTGTGTTTATATCTGTGTGTGTCAGTATGTCTGTGTGTGTGTATGTAGGTATGTCTCTGTGTGTGTGTGTGTACGTGTGTGTCAGTATGTCTGCCAGGATATATTTGTGTGTCAGTGTATGTGTGTGTCAGTATGTATCTGTGAATGTTTTAATGTCTGTCTGTGTGTATGTGCCAGTACGTCTGTCTGTGTGTATGTCAGTATGTCTGTGTGTGTGTGTCAGTATGTCTGTGTGTGCATGTAAGTAAGAATGTCTGTGTCTTTGTGTGTATGTAAGTAAGTATGTCTGTGTGTGTATGTGTGTGTCAGTCAGTATGTCTGTCAGTGTATGTGTCTGTGTGTGTATGTATGTATGTCTGTGTGTCAGTATGTCTGCCAGGATATATTTGATTGTCAGTGTATGTGTGTTGCAGTATATATCTGTGAATGTTTTAATGTCTGTCTGTATCAGCCATTACGTCTGTCTGTGTATATGTCAGTATGCCTGTGTGTGTGTGTGTCAGTGTGTATGTCAGTATGCCTGTGTGTGTGTCAATGTGTCTGTCAGTGTATGTGTCTGTGTGTTTTAGTATATCTGTCAGTGTATGTGTTTGTGTGTGTGTCAGTATATCTGTTAATGTATGTGTCTGTGTATGTATGTATGTATGTCTGTGTGTGTGTCAGTATATCTGCCAGTATATATTTGTGTGTAGTGACTGTGTGTGTCAGTATGTATCTGTGAATGTTTTAATGTCTGTCTGTGTGTGTATGTGCCAGTACGTCTGTCAGTGTGATTGCGGGTTGGACGTAATTGGGGGGTGAGGCAGTGGCAGGGACAGGGCCCATGGGGCCCAAGAAAATGCATTGCGCAGGGTCCTAATCATATTATAGATGGCCCTGGGAGTAGTGACCGGGGAATCACTTCCTCCCAGCGTGTGATGTTATCACAGGGGGCCCAGTCGCGCACTTAAAGCGCCCAGCGCTGACCGGGCCCCCTTACAATCCATATCGATCAGGTGGCCCTGACAGCATGGGCCACCCGATGGATCCCTCCATATGCGGGGCCACAAAATGTGGAAGCAGGCCTGGTACCGGGTGGCAGGCGTCAGCAGGGCGGCCGGGCCCCCTGGAGTGAATGTTTGGACTTTTTATGTGACATCCACCGGGCACCACTCCCTTCCTCGACTACTTAAAGGGATTCTATAGTGTAAGGAATACAAAGTTGTATTCCATACACTATAGAGCCCTGTGGTCCCTGCCGTGCCTCCCAGTGCACAAAGGGTCATAAGCAAACTCATCAGGGAGATTGCCACACATACCCATTAGCCAACCCTTGCCGGACGACATCAGAGGAGGCCGAGTGTCGACTCAGCACCAAGGGACATTGTTGCTGGAATTGGGTAAGTGGCTAAAGGGTTTTTTAACCAATTCCAGAGTCAACGCCATTCCCATTTCAATGGGTATTTAACTAACGCTGGATGTCCTCATGTCGGTTAGCTAACAGGAAGTGCCTCTAGTGGCAGTCTGATTGATAACCACTACAGGGTGTCTTAATCCTGCAATGTAATTATTCCAGTTTCTCCAAAACATTGCAGGGCTAAGAGAACATGGACACTGCACCCATACTACCTCAGTTTGCTGAAATGATCTGGGTGACTATAGTGTCCCTTTAAGCCTGAGAGCAATAAAAGGGATTTAGATTTACTGAGCTAGGTCCTAACTCATAGGACTTAAAGGACCACTCTAGGCACCCAGACCACTTCAGCTTAATGAAGTGGTCTGGGTGCCAGGTCCAGCTAGGTTTAACCCATTTTTTTTTATAAACATTGAAGTTTCAGAGAAACTGCTATGTTTGTAAATGGGTTAATCCAGCCTCCAATTCCTCTAGTGGCTGTCTCATTGACAGCCGCTAGAGGCGCTTGCGTGATTCTCACTGTGAAAATCACACTGAGAACACGCAAGCGTCCATAGGAAAGCATTGTAAATGCTTTCCTATGAGACCTGCTGAATTTGTGCGCAGCTCTTGCCGTGCGTTTGCATTTAGCCGAATGGGAGGATCGGAGGAGGATCGGAGGCGGACAGCTCCCCTCACGGCACTGGAGAAAGGTGAGTGTTTAACCCCTTCCTCTCCCCAGAGCCTGGCGGGAGGGTGTCCTTGAGGGTGGGGGCACCCTCAGGGCACTATAGTGCCAGGAAAACGAATATGTTTTCCTGGCACTATAGTGGTCCTTTAACAGTAAACAAAATAACTTCTTTACTTTAAAATAGCATATCAGCTTAAACTAAAGCAGTACTTTCAGTATTTTTATTTGAAGGTGATTTTTTTTACCTGTAGATCTGCACAGTATTCTGGAGTGGTGTTTTATAAAGCAGGCACACTTTCATCCAGGGCTACTTTTTATTCCCAGTCCTGCCCTGACTTAGAGAGACTTGTAGACCATAACTAAATGCCTTGGTGTTTTTGCCTGCTTTGACTCTTATTGTCGATTCTCATACAGAAATCTCCACTCAGTAGAAGACAAGATGTGGATAGAATGTTTCCAGAATACGACACTATTAAAGCTTCATATGTTCAAGTCCTGTAATGTGGGAAAACTGGAATCCATCTTCAATTCATTTAATCACGAACCGCTCACAGTCTGTAAAGGTCCATCCATGCAAACTGTCATTGTAGTCTTATGGATACTGTAAACAAGAATGTGTCAAATGTTTTCATTATTCTGTATTTTCGAGACTTCTACACAGCGAAAAAAATGTGGTCAGCTAAACTATATGAAATTAATTCTGGACCTCCACCTTGTTCAGTTCACGGTTTGGCCCCCCAAAAAATTTCATTTGGTTCACAGATCAAGAAAGGAAATGTAACCAATGTGAGGGAAAGAGAAACCGAAGTAAGATCCCAACAGCAGTGGTCCTCTGTCTGAGAGAGCTCTGGAAAGAGCCAAGCAGGTCTTTCCAGAGCTCTGGACTATAACAGCCTGATTAACCTAAGGCAAAATAAAGCAATAGAGTTGGTAGGTTTACAATTTAATGTGAATAAACTCCAACAGTGTTTGTAGGAAAACTAACAATATTATTACTAAATCATATCAATCCCCACATTTTTCATACGAGAGATGTTTTTAAGTAGGTGTCACCCTTTCTGTAGCAATGACCTAACGCAATATGCAAACCTGTTTGTCAGATCACCTAAAGGAACATTTTCTCGTGAGAGCCTTACACAACACTAGATTTTTTTTAATTATATTTTATTTTTTTGGAAAATTTGTCTTAACCACATCTGCTAGAAGATTAGTTAAGGTGAGATTTTCAGACAAATCAAAGGGAAAAGGAGAAAACATCTGTCCGAAGGGTGATTGTTTTTGGGGCTGTAAAACCTCTTTAGCAACGTGCTTATTATTTCGATAATAAAGCTGTGAGTTGTGGCTAGTTGTGGTGGTGAGGTTAGCCAATTCATACACAGGAAAGTAAAATATTTCCCGAAAATTTAAATATGAGCCATTTCTTCTTTTTAACATATGCACAGCCTTTCATTTCTCTGTTTTTGTTTCTTTAAAGACGTATGTGCTAAGTTGCTGAAAAATCTAAATTAAGAAAAGCTTTTTTATTCATTAGTTTAGTAGATAACTGACTAATTTTCTATCCTTATCAAAATAAATGGATCTGAAATCAATCGATTACCTTTGAAACTGATCTATTCCTTTTTGTTTTCAAAAATACTGACAAAATGTGATTCTTTACAAAACAAATTGCACAAGTCTATCATTTTCTGTCATAGGCATTAATGATTTGCAGACTGTATTCACAGTATAAACAGGTGCACCTGTCAGACAGATTTGTTAATTCTAATTAATTTTTTTACATATAATATTTGTAGTCCAAGTCATGTGGTCAAAAATGTATTTTTGTTGGGGAACTTCTCAATATATAATGAAGCTTAACAAAACATTTGGAAAACACGGTCTACTGATAAAAGTTTAATATAAAGTATATAATTGTACTTTTGTGCAAAAGATCTAAATCAATTGTATTGAGCGATTTTTAAGGAACAAGTTATTTTTGCTTGAAATCTGAAAGTGATTTACTGAAGTTGGGATAAAAGCAGAAACAGACTTTTTTTTAGAGATTCAAATAAACAATTGGATAGTTTTCTATAGTTCCACTTACTTATAAAACAACTGACTGTCCACAGTTCCCCTTTGGATAATACATTAAAATTGTTATTTCTGTTTTTTTATTTAAAGGGACACTATAGTCACCAGAACAACTACAGCTTATTGAATTTGTTCTGGTGAGTAGAATCATTTCCTTCAGGCTTTTTGCTGAAAACACTGTCTTTTAAGAGAAAATGCAGTGTTTACATTACAGCCTAGTGATAACTTCACTGGCCACTCCTCAGATGGCTGATAGAGATCCTTCCTGGGTCATGGCTGCCTAAAATGCATCCAAACATTCAGTGTCTCCTCCCTCTGCATGCAGACACTGAACTTTTCTCATAGAGATTCATTGATTCAATTCATCTCTATGAGGAGATGCTGATTGGCCAGGGCTGTGTTTGAATTGTGCTGGCTTTGCCCCTGATCTGCCTCCTTGAAAGTCTCAACCAATCCTATGGAGAAGCATTGTGATTGAATCAGGCTACCACTTATATAGTTACATAGCTGAAAAGAGACTTGCGTCCATCAGGTTCAGCCTTCCTCACATATGTTTTTGCTGTTGATCCAAAAGAAGGCAAAAACCCAGCCTGAAGCGCTTCTAATTTTGCCACAAACTAGGAAAAAAATCCTTCTTGACCCCAAAATAGCAGTCAGATGTCTCCTTGGATCAAGCAGCTATTACCCCACTAATTAGAAATTATATCCCTGTATGGTATGTTTTTGCAAGTATTTATCCAATTGCTATTTAAACATCTGTAATGACTCTGACAAAACCACCTCTTCAGGCAGAGAATTCCATATCCGTATTGCTCTTACTGTAAAAAAAAAACCTTTTCTTTGCCTTAGATGAAATCTCCTTTCTTCCAGCCTAAATTTGTAACCGTGTGTCCTATGTATAGCCCTGTTTATGAATAGATTTCCAGATAAAGGTTTGTACTGGCCCCGAATATATTTGTATAATGTTATCATATTATTCCAAACTAAACAGATTTAATGTTTTTAACCTTTCTTCCTAACTAAAATGCTCAATTTCTTTTATCAATTTTGTAGCTCGTCTCTGGACTTTTTCTAGTGCCATGATATCTTTCTTTAGAACAGGCGCCCAAAATTGCACAGCATATTCAAAATGTGGTCTTACCAGCAATTTATAAAGAGTCAAAATTATATTTTCATCCCGAGAATTTATGCCCCTATTTATACATGACAAAACCTTACTGGCCTTAGCAACTGCAGATTGACATTGCATATTGCTGCCTAATTTGTTATCTATAACAATTCCCAATTTCTTCTCGTGTGTGGTTATCCCTCATTCACTACCATTTAGGGTGTAAAACTTCTGATGATGTCAGCAGACTGCTTGTTTTTCTGAGGCAAACAGCATACAGAGCTACAGCTTTAGGCTTGAATACCTTACGATTTTGCTATATTTATGAAGGCATGAGGGCCTCAGGGGGGCTAGATGGTGGTTTTAACCCAATAGGGTCAGGAATACATGTATGTGCTCCTGACCCTATAGTGCTCCTTTAAGGTTTACTATTTCAAGGTGATTAAGACTTTCGGTTGTAGTCGTTAGTATTTGAGTTTGTGTAACTATAACATCTATCTACCGATAGCTTGCCTTTGGCACTGCGATAGTTGCGGACATACAAAGTTAATGCATCTTGCTGCTGGAATTCTAATTCCACCTGCGGCACTGTCATGGTCACGATAACATGGTGGCAACAGACAACCAATGGCCTTCCTGCCGGTCAAGTCCTCCACTAAGCCCATTCTCTGGGATGCTCCTCTCCTGCATTGAGTGGAAGTGTCAACACCAGAGTGGAGTTGAGGTTCAGGAAGAACATGGCCTGTAAGACCGCAGGTAAATCTATTTTTCTTTCTTATCATTATTGTATTACTACAGCCCAAAATAGCACAAAAGAGGAAAAGGGAGTAGCATCTTAAAAGTTCACAGATGTTGGTAAGTATGCTTGGAGACAAAAAGAAAATGCAACAGGTATATCGTGTAGTATGCCAAATGTGAGTAGGAGATAAAAAAGGAGATGAGATACACCTACATATATCAGCTCTATTTATGTGCGACTTGGCGGTATAATGCTAAGACGTATGGCATATCTCTGGGTCCAGTAATGGGTGGTCTAGGGTGCATGCAAAATAATTAGGAAAAAACACCAATTAAGTGTAGTATATTTAATGTAAGAGATAATATAAATAGATGTGTAGAAATGCACTCAAATTAGGTGGAGCCTACTAGTGTCTCCCAGAACCTGGACACAAACTGTTTAAAAAGGGAGAGCCAAGAATAATGTTTTGGGTTTTTTAAAAGCAGTTTTTGGCTAGAGTAACCCGTCAATTGTAGCTGCAAACAGAACAGTAGTTTCTATGGATTTCTGTGAAGAGATTTTGCGGTTGAGTTATACCTGTTATTAAATATTATTGTGTCTTCATTTTATAGAAAATCCCCCCAAAATAGCACATTAGGCGCTAATAAACTATTTTGAAATTTACAGTGAACCTGAAACCTAGATGATATTGGACAGATACATACATTAGTAGTGTATGGCAAATCATAAACATTCAATCAAATATTTTTTTTTTAAATTGATAAAACAATAAGTGTCCCCTGAGTAGTTAAGGACAAATCGTTTGGCCTGGTTATGGTCTACCTTATAGTTTCTCCTTATAAAAATACCTTTCTGTCCACTCTTTGAATAATAATTATTAAGTCCCAGGGGTAGCACATCACGTGAAAGGTTTTGCCCAGAGTGGCATTCACTAAAAAACATCTTCCTTTATCATAGTAAACCAATCACTATGAAACCAGCTCTCCATTTGTCTACTGTTAAAACCTTTTTAAATGTCACTGTATAATTCTCCTTATTCTTCTATTTAAGCATTTGAGTGTCAGGACAATCAGAATGAATTTTAATCATAGAATGTGTTAATGAAGATATATATAATTTTTATGAATTGTATAGATTTTGAACTTTGAATTAGTGTTTTCACTGCTGAATAGGCAAATATATATAATTCAAAGGTTATGCCACCCAACATTTCACATAGAAAAAAGACATTTTCATTTTGCCAGGTAGGGAGGCTGGGTGGACATTTAATATTAATAATTTGTGTGTCTGAAAGTCTATGTGTGTGTCTGAATGTGTGTGTCTGAATGCGGGTGTGTCTGTGTGTGTGTGTGTGTGTGTGTGTGTGTGTGTGTGTAAGTATATGTGTGTGTCTGAATGAGTAGCTGAAGCATAAGATAAATGTTCCATTTTGCCTATTTTAAACCTTAAATTTGAAATTACTTTGAATTGGAATTCAATGTGTTTTAAATGGCAAAGTTTGGAGAAAGACATGGTTGTCTTATGACCTCTAGTGGTCATAGTTAAGTATTGCAGCTTTAGTAGTTACAGTCTGCAAAACATAGCCAAGTATGATCAGTAAATACCAAATCGTAATTAATTAAAAATCAGGTATAAAAAGTATAACAAATAGTAAAGCTATGTTGATAGTATATTTGAAGTTTTTTTTATTTTACCAAGCAGATATTTTTTCTTAATTTGCAATTTGGTTTTCATATTACTACCATACATCCATCTGTGTTAAATAATAGACGTGTTTATCATATTAAAGGGACACTATACTCACTAGAACAATTTTAGCTTCGTGAAGCAGTTTTGGTGTATAGATCATGCTTCTAAAGTCTCACTGCTCAATTCTCTGCCATTTAGGAATTAAATCGCTTTTGTTTCTGTTGATGCAACCCTAGCCACACCTCCCCTGGCTGTGACTGACACAACCTGCATGCAAAACAATGGTTTCAATTTCAATCAGATGTAACTAACTTTTTATCTCCTGCACTGTAAATTGAACTTTGATTGCACACAGGAGCCTCCTGCAGGGTCTAGCAAACTATGAACAGTGCAGGAAATAAGACATTGTAAATTAAACAGAATTTGCAATACAGGAAGCGCAAACATTAGATGACTCTTTACCAGAAGTGTTTAGGAAGGTTGTTCAAGTTACATGCAGGGAGGTGTGACTAGTGTTGCATAAACAAAGTGACAACTCCTAAATGGCTGAGAATTAAGTAGTGAGACTACAGGGACATTATATATACACCAAAACTGCTTCATTAAAGTAAAGTTATTTTGGTGACTATAACTATATCTGTTGCTCTGTTTTGTATATTGGTGCTTAAATGATAAGTGGGAACATGGAGTTTTTTAGAGAACACATTTAAATAATATTTAACTTGTTTATTCTATGCAAATCAAAACATTGAAATTTTAAAGGAACACTATAGTCACCTAAATTACTTTCGCTAAATAAAGCAGTTTTAGTGTATAGATCATTCCCCTGCAATTTCACTGCTCAATTCACTGTCATTTAGGAGTTAAATCACTTTGTTTCTGTTTATGCAGCCCTAGCCACACCTCCCCTGGCTATGATT